ACTATTCCAAGTGATCAATTTCAGTTCACAATTGATCATAATGAAAGGACTAAGAGTCAAAGGGAGCACATAAACAAGTCTAGTACCTGCTAACACTAACCGATAGAATAAATAAAGGGGAGAGTGATCCAACATGGGAAGTGAGATACTCAGCAGACTCATAGAATGGCAGATGTCCTAAATAGCACTCTGGCCTCAGAATCAGCCCTAAAGGCATTCGGATCTGGCTGAAAAGCCCATGAGAGTATTTCAGGCATGGAAAGCCAAGACACTCTGGCAAAAGATCTCTGTGAGTGAGATCCCAGTGGAAAGAACAGGTCTTCAAAGAAGGAGGTACCTTTCTCTGAAGGGAGGAGAGAACCTCCACTTTGACTATGACCTTGTCTAAACAAGATAAGAATCGGAGAACTCAGAGGGCTTCCATAGCCTTGGAAACTCATGACTGGAGCATAGGGAGATTACTGATGCCATAGACAGGAGTGTCAATTGGTAAAGTCAACAACAGGAGTCACTGTGCACTTACTCCTCATGTAGGATCTCTGTCCTTAATGTGCTGTGCATTGAGATTTAATGCTATAATGAGTACTCAAACAATATATTTCACTTTGTGTTTCTATGGGGGTGCAAACTGTTGAAATCTTTACTCAATGTATACTAAACTGATCCTCTGTAAAAAAAAAAAAAAAAAAGAAATTATCAACTCCCAACTTGACTCTCACTGGGATTAAACATGACAATAGGTCTGATCTGATTTCATCATCATTTAAAAAAAATCATCTATTATTTTTCACTTTATGTTTCTGTGTGGGAGCAAACTGTTGAAATCCTTACTTAATGTATACTAAGCTGATCTTCTGTATATTAAGATAATCGAAAATGAATCTTGATGTGAATGGAAGGGGAGAGGGAGTGGGAGAGGGGAGGGTTGTGGGTGGGGGAAGACATTGTAATCCATAAATCGTACTTTGGAAATTTATATTCATTAAATAAAAGTTAAAAAAATTATTACTATAGGACAACTCATGTTACTGTATATCCTCTTGAGTGAATTTGGAAATTTGTGTCCCAAACAATAGTGTTCATTTCATTTTAAGTTGTGGAATTAATTTAAGTTGTTCATTGTAACCATAGCCACTTGCTATCTTTAAAAGGTCTATAAAATCTGTACTGTTTCTTCTCTTTCAATTTTGATCATTTATCACATCTCTGTTTTTTCTTGATCATGCTGGCTAGAGTTTAACCAATTTTCTTGACCATTTCAAAGAAGTAAATTTTGTTTTCATTGACTTTGTCTAGCTATGTGTTCCAAATTTTATTGATTTGTATGCTTTGTCCTTTTCTTCATTCTGCTTGCTTTAGGGTTAGATATGAAGGAAAAACAATATACATCACAAAGCACTAAAAGGAATCTGAAGTGATTATGTCAATACAATAGGTATATTTCAGAAGGAATGTTAGTAGAGTTCCTCTTTTCGTAGTGCAATTATTGAAGATGAAAACATTGATTTGAACCCCATATTATTTTCTGTATATAGAAATAGAAATTTCCTCGTTAAACACTGCTTAGCTTTAAAGACTTTTATATCGATCTTCATTTTCAGTAGTTTAATCATAGTTTCACAAAACTATAAAATCACAATTGACCCAATAATGATTAGAAGTATCCTAAAAATATTTGGAGATTTTTTTTCCAGATACATTTTCTTATTGTTTGTTGTTTATGTTGCATTCATAGAGTATACTTTGAAGGACTTCAGTTTGCATAAATGTGTTGAATTTTGTTTTGTAGCCTGTGATATTATGTATCTTAGTGAATGTTTTAGATGCACTTGATTGTTCTGTTGTTGCCAGGTTATTAATAATGTCCTTGAGTTTTCATATCATCACCAAATTTCTGCCTATGATTGATTATTGGTTATAGAAAAAAGAATGTTGAAGTCTCCAACTATAATTGCACTGTTCTTTTTTTAATTCTCAGAAATAAATGTGGCAATTTGTATTATAAGGTTATATTGTTAACTGCATATATAGGAAATCACGTATAGGATTGCTCTGTCTGATTCTCAGTGAATCAACCAATTTATTTTTATGCCAGATCCCTCTACACACCGAGCAGCATTCCTTCTTCTGAAATATATGTACTGTTAATTAACAGTTACATGATTTGTTTTAATATTTTGTGTTATAATTTTATTATTCCTTTATTTCTAACCTATAAATGAATTGTGATCCAGTTGTGTACTGCATTTGTATCCTACATAACCATATCTTTCTTCTCATGAGTGTACTTAGATCATGCATTTCATTCAATTGATATTGATTAATTGAAAAATCCACCCCATAACCATTGTTTTCCCAAATTGTTCCATCAATTCTTTGGCGAATTATGTTTTGTTCCTGCCTGTTATTCTATTATTTTACATTGCTGTATGTTTACATTTCTAGCACATTTAAAATATTTTTAGAAGTGCCCTAAGCATCCATATAAAACATTAATTCATGGAATTCTAACATAAAGAACTATTATTCTGTCTTAAATGCAATGAAAGTACCTTATGACAGCATGCTTCTAATTTAAACTTCTGTACTAATGTGTTCACACATTTTACACTTAAATATATATAAGTCATGACATAGCTGTTATTTTTGCTTTAGGCAGTCAATTATTCATTAGAGAAATCAGAAATAGAAAAAATATCTTTCATATTTGTTTTCAATTTAACTGTTTTTAGAGTTACATCTTCATTTATTTTTACAAATCTGAATGTATCCAGTATCATACACTTTTTGCCTTGTAAACATTTCTTCAGCATTTCATATAGCATGAATCTGATACTAAAATGTTGTCTCGGATTTTGATTGTCTAGCAAAAAGCCTTCAGTCCTATTTAATTTTTGTTATGTATAGAATATGGGTTGACTTTTTTTTCCCCAGGTTTTTTAAGTGTGACTCAGTTGTCTTTTGTCTTGTGTAGTTTAGACCAAGGTTTACCATCAGTCTTCTTTCTTCTTTTGTATGCAGTGTCCAGTGTCTTTTTAATTGCTATTTCATGTCTGTTGCTAACAATTTTTTCTTTTCTTTTTTTTTGTTATTGGCAGTTTGAATATGATGCATCTTGATAGGGTGTGTGTGTGTATGTTTGTGTACACATGTATGTATATGTATGTTTTGCAGGGTTATTTATTCTACCTATGAAGACTAGTGGCAGAAGTAGATAATGTTCACGCATGAATTTTATATACCTCTTCTGTTAGAATGTTACTGCAGGAATCTGCAGCAATATAATCATGAGTTGAGTTGGGTTTGGATTTTATTGCTGCCATAAGCAATTTCTGTGCACCATACACTTCTGCCTAGGTGGGGAAAATTATTGTCAACGTTCCTTCTCCACCCATAGCCTTTGACCTTTTCTGTGCTTCGTAAGGGTCTCTACACACTCTTTACCCCCTCCTCTTGTGGTTGTCATCTTCTGGTTGTTACTTGATGTCAGCCTATCGATGACACGGCAGAAAGACTTTCTGATGTCCCAGTCACGGTCAGACGTGCACAGGCTTATGTGTAGACGTTAGAGATGGAGCTTTCTCAGTGTTCCCAACTCGTATCCATGCAGTCAAACTTTGCAAGTTATGTGTAAGAACTTTTCCTTCCCTCAGTGGTAGCAAACCTCTAGTGAGATTGGCACAAATTTAAGGCTCAGGGTTGATTCACGCCTCTTTCATAAACTAAGGTGTTTTGCTCCCTAACAGAAAGTAACCTGGGTAGAACTTTGTGCCTTCTTCGCTGTAGCAAACTCTTTGCTCTTCCAGGTTTGCACTATAATCTCTCGGTGGCTGGGATCCATGGAGAAGAGCATGTTAGCAATGGAAACGCCCCTTAAGTTTATGGATCCCAGGTGTCTATTTTCTCATGTTACTTGACACTTGGTCTTTAGAAGTTCATCGTAAAAATTTTTCTGAATTCTTCTTACTCTATAGTTTTGTGTTAGTGTCTCTTGTATTGTACTCCGTCACTTTTTGAAAAAAAAACATTATCTTATTTGAACTTTGATCTCTGATTCTTACCTCTGATAAATACATGCAAGGTTAAGATTTTACAGTTTGACTTTTTCTTGCTTTTAGTGTAGAAGTAATACTCTTTCTGATTTTCTAATCCTCAGCAGGTACTGAAGTGTGCATGTACTTTTTATATTCTCAATGATCATTATTTTGTTGTATTTATGTAATTATAATATCAGATTATCAACATAATAGTACTGGTTCTAGATATTTTTCTCTCATCATTAAACTATAAAACTAGTGTTATAACTTTGTAATAAGATTATAGGAATAAAATAATTAACTATACTAACATTTTGTAAGTACCTCATAGAAATTGAAAATCAAGAATTACCTATAAAAACTGTGATCAGAATAAAGGAAAAGGAATTATAATTTCTCAAGAAATAGCTTTAACTATACTGCTGGATATAAGATCCTTTAATTAATTACCATGAATGTTAGAACCATATTTTTGCTGATGAAATCGGTCTTGGAAGGAACTTCCTGCTTATGGAAACATGACAAGGCACCCTGATGAATAATCTGAAACCAATTGTTTGCTAGATACAATGTTTTTTTCTTTCATGCATCTTTGAATCATTTTGACTTGGGAGAAAAAATACATCTCATAACATTTTGTTACAAAAGAATGTTAGAACTTTATCCAATGGAAAAAATAATTATAGAGAAACTGTTAACTCAAAAATTACACATTCTTGTGATTTTTATGAAGTGCTTGAAAGAAAATGAAGCTCTCCTAATGACATTTACAAAATTAGCTTAATGTCCTGAAAATCTTAAAAGATGGCTGGGGATCAGTATAATTACCTACAAAAATAGATGTTGCATCTAGTGTAACTATAAGGTCTCTTGCTTCAAGATCTGTAATTGTGAAGCTACATTTTCTTTTTTGAGTGACGTTTCTGGAAATCACACTTAGCATGAATATTTTTGTAATTACAGGTTTCATATGGGGAGAAATTAAGCAGATGTGGGACGGCGGACTTCAAGATTATATCCATGATTGGTGGAATCTAATGGATTTTGTGATGAATTCTTTATACTTAGCAACAATCTCCTTGAAAATTGTCGCATTTGTAAAGGTAATTATTATGTATGTTATTGGTAAAACATAAGCTCTGAAAATTAGATATATTCATAATTACCATTAATTTTTAAATAATATTGTCTAAAGTTTTGTCCATATGTAATATGCATCAATTTATAATATTATAGAAGTGTATAAAATACATAGATAAAGCATAATCTACAATCACAAAATAAATTTCCATGAGTGCTAGAAGTTATTAGCCAATTCTGTTGCATCCAAATAGAATGATGCTTCAAACTTGTTTACAGTAGCTATTTGCATGTGTAATCCTTTTTATTTCTAATGAAATTCTATCTCAAACAGTGCTCAAATTTTGGCAAGTAAAATCTATTTTTATTTTATAACTAATAGATAAAATTTCATAGATCAAAATATTACTTGTTCAAAGCATTGAAGTTATTATTTCAGTTTAACTGATGCAGTTTGATATAATTAGAGCAGAATATAATTTTTTTCTCCTCATCCCATTCAACATGACATTGCTTGAAGACTTACACACCCATTACTCCCCCAGATTTTGTACAACATCAATCTTATCCCCTACCACATAATTTACATAAAACATTTTTTCTCTGAAATGACAATTGCAATTATTTTGTACTCTGGAGAATTTTTTTAAGCCAAAGACATATTTTCTTCCCATTGTGTTTTCCTTTTTCCTTATTTCTTTTCCTCTTTCTTTAAAAATTGTATTAAAATGATTACTGAATTTAATGCATGCAATTTAAAGTATGAAATTTAAAACTTTTTCACATTGTCTACTTCTTAAAATGATGATCTGTTTGTGCAATATTTAGAAATCAAAATTACTCAAAATTGGAGACTATAGTTTCCAGAATTTGTTCGATTAAAATGCTACTCATTCTCACCAAAATAATAGGGAAAAGCAATTTCTGTCAGTTTTTGTTAAGAGTAGAAACAAAATTTAGTTACTTTACCTTTATGAATTGAAATTAATGACCTTGAAGAACTTATTAAGAGCAGAAGGTAGTATTTTAACCAAAGGTGATTATACCTCTAGCTATGAAGTGGACAGTCTATTTATATGTGCCTAGTTGGCCCATCCCCTTTCCTCTGTAATTATGCTCTTTGTATTAAGAAGTTTCTGTACTTGTGTGTGTGTGTGTGTCCCAGCGCTGCTATAAATTTCTGGTATTATATGACAGTAGTGGTTCTTCTCAAACTTCCAGGTGCAAAAATATCACCAGGAAAACTTTTCAAAACATTTCTTTTCTTCATCCCCAGATTTTAAATTAGTAATAGTAGGGAAAGGTCAAAATTTGCATTTTTGATAAATTCTCTGGTGATATTGATACTGATCTAAGGAAGACATTTTGAAGACCATTGTCTTGAAAAACCTTATTCAACAACTTGAAGAATTGTGAAGCTGAATTCAGAAAGAATTTTGTTTTCCATAGGTATTATTGAAGCTAAGATATATGATATTTGCATTTATTGTACTTAAATAGTGCTTATATGTGGTGCACTTACTTTTTCATATGTCACAACTATGTTGTGCATACTTATATAGACTAATAAATACTTTCAAATTATTGCCTGAATGCTGTTAGATAAAAAAATTCTATGCATATAATATCCAACTAACATTAAAATATAGGCTGGTGCCGCAGTTCAATAGGCTAATCCTCTGCCTGCCGCGCCGGCACCCTGGGTTCTAGTCCCGGATGGGGCGCCGGATTCTGTCCAGGTTGCTCCTCTTCCAGTCCAGCTCTCTGCTGTGGCCCTGGAAGGCTGTGGAGGATGGCTCCGGTCCTTGGGTCTTGCACCCGCATGGGAGACCAGGAGAAGCACCTGGCTCCTGGCTTTGGATCATTGTGATGCGCCGGCCACAGCGCGCCGGCCACAGCGCTCCGGCCGCGGCTGCCATTGGAGGGTGAACCAACGGCAAAAGGAAGACCTTTCTCTCTGTCTCTCTCTCTCACTGTCCACTCTGCCTGTCAAAAAAATAAAAATAAAAAATGAAGCAAATGAGTTGATATATTTGTGACTATCACAGAGTAAACACTCATTGTTGTTACAGCTTCTTCTTTTTTTAAAAATACTTGCTTGTTTATTCAAAGTCAGAATTATAGAGATAGATGGAGGGACAGACAGAGGGAGAGATCGTGTATCTTCACTCTCCAGGTGACTAGAGCAGCCAGGGCTGGGCCTTGAAAAGCCAGGAACCAGGAGCTTACTCCAGGTCTGTCACGTGGATGGTGGGTCCCCAAGCACCTGGGCCATATTCCCCTGCTTTTCCCAAGCCATTATCAGAGAGCTAGATCCAAATGGAGCAGCCAGGAAACAAACTGGCGCCCACAGGGGATGACAGCGTGCAGGTTGTGGCTTCACCCGCTACACCACAATACCAACTCTTGTTCTCCTTCACTCCTCTCCTTTATCATGTACTGAGTCTACTGTACTTGCCTTTTGCATTATCTTCACTGTGCCTTGTCATTCACTCTATTTTTTTAAAAAAAGAATTTGAGGTCTGGATTCACCCTTGCCCTTATTATATTGAATCTCTGTCATTCAGGTGAATTATTTAATGTGGGCCTCATTTCTATTATCTGTGAAGAGCAATGACCACTGAAGCATATGTCATCATACTAACTCATTAATCCATCCTTTATTTTTGTTCTAACATGCAGTTTTTAAGACTAAATTGTAATAACAAAATTACTTTAGAATCTGGTTCTTGCAAAAATGCATTATTATATAAATATGGGAAACAGTTAAATGTGGATCAAGTAGCCAGTTTGCTCAATACACATCTGTTAGAGCACACTAGGGAACTAACTTTTGATCTGGTTGCTGTAAATGCAAAGATTCCTGAGATGTAGGCCCTGCCATTAAGTAGCTAACAGTCAGACAGATAAAAGAAAAAATTGTATATACAAGGACTTACAATATGGTAAGGTCTACAACAGGTGCTAAGGTAGGATCGAGAAAGGAAGTAACCTTTATCATAATAGCATCAATATATACAGAAGGCTCAGCAAATATACATCTACCATGCCCATGAATATGCATGAGCATTCATGAGAGAAAACATGCATGGTGCAAAAGTTGGGATATTTAAAGCAGAGTTAAATCTTTGAGGGATGATCCTGGAAATGGGGAGATGGCAAGAAGGGAAGGGCTTTCCACATCCTACTATAGAATCTGAATTTTAACCTATATATGAATAGGACTCATTAATGACATTTAAGCAGAGAATGATTCAGGTAACTATGAATGACTTAAACAGAGAGGTGTACGTAGAGGAAGCTGGTAGAAGATTGGATTTTAGAAATAATTTAAAAGATAAAATCCCACAAGATATGTGAGTAATTAATGATGATGTATGGGGGCCGGCGTTGTGGCTCACTTGGTTAATCCTCCACCTGCAGCACCGGCATCCTATATGGGCACCAGGTTCTAGTCCCGGTTGCTCCTCTTCCAGTCCAGCTCTCTGCTGTGGCCCGGGAGGGCAGTGGAGGATGGTCCAGGCATTTGGGCCCCTGCACCCGCATGGGAGACCAGGAAAAAGCACCTGGCTCCTGGCTTCGGATCGGCACAGCGCCAGCCGTAGCAGCCATCTGGGGAGTGAACCTTTCTTTCTATCTCTCTCCATCTATAATTCTACATGTCAAATTAAAAAAAAAAGCCATTGCTTTAAATGATGATGTATGAAGTGCATAGACTTATCCTAATACTGTTCTGTAGTAAATGAGAGTTACTTCTATTGCACTTAGGAGAATTGTCAGGAGGCTGTTACTAGGGCCTCAGCCGGCACTGTGCAGATTCTTCCTTATAGCTGACAGAGTGCACAAATGGAACAAAATCCAGTCACATATGTTATGCCTTCAAATGGTGGGGCAGGAGAGAGCATGTGAATTCTCTGGTGCTCTTTTCCTAGGGGCCCACACTTGTGAGCTCATCTAAACCAATTAATTCACAAAGGTACCTTATGTAAATGCCATCACATGAGGGAATCTAACATATAAATTTAAGAGTGACACAGTTCGGTCCATGGCATCCATTCTGTTACAGTTCTTTCACTACTGGGGAGATTTTTTTTAAAATACACACAAACAAGGGCATGGTAGAGTTTGGACTCTGAATTCACAATTGGCTTGACTACTGCTTATATTGCCTTTTTTTTTTTTTTTTTTTTTTTTTTTTTTGACAGGCAGAGTGGACAGTGAGAGAGAGAGACAGAGAGAAAGGTCTTCCTTTGCCATTGGTTCACCCTCCAATGGCCGCTGCGGCCGGTGCACCGCGCTGATCCGATGGCAGGAGCCAGGTACTTCTCCTGGTCTCCCATGGGGTGCAGGGCCCAAGCACTTGGGCCATCCTCCACTGCACTCCCTGGCTACAGCAGAGAGCTGGCCTGGAAGAGGGGCAACCGGGACAGAATCTGGCGCCCCGACCGGGTCTAGAACCCGGTGTGCCAGCGCCGCAAGGCGGAGGATTAGCCTAGTTAGCCGTGGTGCCGGCTATATTGCTTTTTATGTACAGTAATCTGGAACCAGTTTTTTGAGCTATGCCTCAAATTTCTTTTCTTATATTAGAGTCATATATGTGTGTATTTGTGTGTGTTTCTAATATAAGAAAGGAATATTTTTCTTATATACATATTTATATTGTAGTTTCCTTTGATTGCTGTATAAAATGAAGCAACATTATAATGTTCATTGAAAAAACAGAGCACAAAAATATATATGACTTCAATATTCATTTCTTTACATGCCAGGTTTCGTGATTCTCCTTTAAATACCTTTGACTTGTTGGCATTTTTTTAAGTTATGGACTCTCGGTATTTTAAAATTTGCTCATAATCCTTAAGAGGTAATTTTGTTAATCATTTCCTCTTTTCACTATGTGTGAAGTATTATTGAATCAGAGCTTGTTGTTGCCTAGGGGCACAGTAATAAATGGTAATTTACTTTCCTAACTAGCACTCGGCCCCTTTTCCATTTGGAGAAGTTTTCTCTTCAATCCTTTGGT